GGCTGCACTTTGTTCTGCACTCTACCACTTTAACCCTTGTGCGCTGTTCATTTGAGGTTTACAGTCGGGCTGTTTGTGGTCTCAGAGACCCCAGGCAACAAAATGTAATTTTGTAACAAATTTTGTACAAATTTTGTACAAATGTAATTGGTTACATTTTGTAACAAATTACATTTTTGATATATGCATATCTACATATTATGAAATCATAATTATAACAATAAAAGTTACTTTTTGTCAAAGTTTAGCAGTTTTTGTACTGAAAAAAAATCTGTTTTTCAATAATGTTACATTATAATTAGAATCAAACCTGATCAAGATGTTACAAAGAGAAAAGTTGGAGTCTTTAGAGTTTATCATTTATTTCAAACATCTGTTTTTCACATAATTCTAAAAATTGTGTGAAGTGTACCACAAAATTTCTGTCTATGTGTGTTCTTTCTGATTTTGAGGATGAATTTTGTCCATTGACAAAAATCATTTGATTCTATCATAATATAACATTATTGAAAAACAGATTTTTTTTCCAGTACAAAAAATGCCTAAACTTCGATAAAAAGTAACTTTTATTGTTATAATTTTGATTTCATAATATGTAGATATGAATACAACTGGAAAAACTTGTGAAAATATGTCTTTCATTTAGTCAAATAGCAAATAGTGGAGCTCTGCAGCCATCTGGTTAAAGTGATAACTTGTTACTTTTAAAACGGCATTTTCCAAAAGATGGGCAAAAATCTTACACTAAACCATGTCAAAATATCCATGTTATCCCCATAAATGAAAGTTAGAAATGTGGGTCAAAAAGACCCCAAACAGCGCACAAGGTTTAAGACAAATGGATTTGTTGTTTGTTGTGTTTTCATATTCAAGACATTATAAGCTAGATTCCGCTTTTTTGGGTTCGCATCAAACGTTCTTTGACTTTTATACACAATAAATTTGTTTATGAATAAAGATGGATCTGTTGAAAGCAGTTATTTTGAGATAGATGCCAAATGTTCTCCTCCTATTCATATTTAACATTGAGGGGGTGCATACAACATATCTGCCCACCGGCAACTATAGTTGCCGCACATTCAAATACGATTTTCAAGAAAAAAGAAAAAAAAAAAACATGGGGAAAATAAATGCAGAACATGTTCACATAGGACATTATTAACACGACTATATGCATGAAACCATTCAGAAAAATTTGGGCACAAATGGGTTAACATGAGGGATTAAAGTTCCATTTAAATTCCTCCTCAATCTACATAATAAAATTTCAATAATTAGGCTATATAGTTGTCCAGAAATTGGACAACCTTGCCTTATACCTTTTGTCACAGGTATTGGAGCACCTAAACCAAACCCCTACTTTCACCATCACATAAACATTAGAATACACCAACTGCATATATGAAATACAAACATCACCAAATCCATAACTCTTTAACAATTTTAAAAGAAAGTCATGATCAACATGATCAAACGCTTTTTCTTGATCCAATGACAACACCCCTAAATCATTCTTATTATGCTGGTTGAAATCAATTATATCTCTCACTAAGAAAAGACTATCTATAATAGATCTCTTAGGAATGCAATATGTTTGATCATTTTTGATCAACAAATCTAGACATTGCTTGAGTCTATTTGCTAAACACTTCCAAAAAAGTTTATAGTCCAGACACAACAGAGATACTGGTCTCCAGTTTTTTAGCAGCCCAAGGTCTCCTTTTTTTTGGAAAGCAATGACGACAACTTATTGAAAGTGAATTACTTTTGATACATCCTAAAATTACGTCATATAAATCTTGTCCTATTAGGCCCCAGAATTGTTGATAAAATTCCACCGGTAATCCATCAATTCCAGGCGATCTACCTTTAGATAGTTGCCTCACAGCCTCTGTGCACTCTTGAAAGGTGATTAAATCGTCCAGCTCTTGTTTTTGTTTTTCTCCAAGCTGAGGTAACTCTTTAAGCAAATCTTCAGTACAGTCAATGTCACAACTTTCAGCTCTATATAATTGTTTATAAAAGTCTCCTGCCAGTCTCCTCATTTCTAGCATCTGATGTAACTGATCCGTCCGAACGACGAAGATGACACATCATCTTTTGTTGGACATGTTTTCTTTCAAGGTTAAAAAAGAAAGTACCCATTTCTTTTATAGAACAGTATCTTGATCTTATCAATGCTCCTTTTGCTTGCTCATGTAGGAGAAAACTCAGCTCTTGTCTTTTCCTATTTAACCCATTACACTGCACAGCTTCATTATTATTTACAACTTGTCTTTCAATTAACTCAATATCACTCTGTAAAGCTTTCGCTGTTGCTTTCAATATAGTTGATGAGTGGAAAGCATAATTTTGACAAAACATTTTTATATTTGTCTTGCCCACATCCCACCATTGGCTTAGGTTTTTAAATGAGTTTGTCTTCAATTTCCAAATATTCCAGAACAATTAAAATTTTTCACAAAAAGATACATCCTGTAATAACTTAATGTTAAAAATCCAGTAATAATTAGATCTGGATGTCTTCTTCAAATTAACATCTAATATGACGGTCTGAAAAACCATTAGGTCTAATAAAAGTAGCCTATTAGTGAAATTTGTTGACTTTTGTAATCTTTGTTGCATGCCTGTAACACATATTAAATCTATCTTAATATCCTTTTAGATTCTAATTCTTAACTTTTCTTTTGGTTTCTTAATTTTTTATTCAGCAGGAAACCCATAGGGAAAAAAACAGTTTAATAACACATGTATTTCTTTCCCCCTATATTTGCGTGTGTAACGGTGGCGGTTTCAGAGGAACGAGAGTGTGATCCAGATGCAGCAAACATTTATTCAAACAAACATAACAAAAGTAAATCTAGGCAAAACTGATAAATGCACAGACACGTGCAAGGAAGGCAAACAAAACTGACAATAAGTGCACACATAACATCCATAGAAGGATTGGCAAACCAGACACACCTGGGAACAATCAGGAGCTAATCAACAAGGAAAACTAGGAAATAACATAAGTCCACACTAGACAGGAATCATGACAGCGTAATAGTAAAAATAATAATTATTTGCAACTTTCTCTTTGGTCTTACAGGCTTTTTGCAGTACATTTTTTTTTATATAGTACTCAGTACAATACATATCCTCACTCACTTAGCTGGCATTAAACAAGTTAACGTTGTTTTCATACATGCAATTTAAACTTTGCTTTTATCATTTATTAAGTTTTAATTGCAAAAATTCTAAAACAGATAAACAGATTTGAAAAAAAAAAAGGCTTATTAGTACAGCTGATACATCAGTGATATTTCAACACATTCTCATCCTTTGGCGTCATATAGGTGACGCCATATGACATTTCGTCGAAATCTTACGCACATGGCATCCTTTAGCGTCAATATAACACGCACTGTTATGGGTAGGTTTAGGTCTGGGGTAGGGTACGGTTATGACGCCTTGGGTTCTGCGTCTCATATTGACGCTAAAGGATGCCATGTGCGTAAGATTTCGACGAAATTTCCAAAGCGTCACATGTATGGGATTTGGACTTGGGATGAGAACGGGCTGGATATTTTATTCTCCTTGTGCTTTTAACCCACACTCAGGCAAATCCATCACTCCATCATTACATGTTTGTCTTAGGTCATTGACTTTTAAATATTTTCCTATCTGACATACAAAGCTGATTTTATCCTCATGTGGTGAGAATATATCTTTCTGTTCAACCCATCTCAGCTGTATACCTCTTTTATTCATTTCCTCCACCGTCACTGAACAGGGCTCTGAAACAAACCCAACATCTCACTGTCAGTGTTACTATATTCATTGAGTCATCAGAACCAGAACTAAAACTTCAACTACAAGATTACATTAAACTTGCAAAATAAATAAATAGTACAGTAAAAAACGCTTAACATGTATTTGAGACATATAATGATGTAGCGAGTTCATACTTACTTAAACACCTAATATCCCCTCTCCATTGGCCTTGTTCACAGGTCAGGTATTTGGAGTAGGGGTGATGTTGATCTAGTGTGTATTCATTAAAGCATCTGTATTCAACTTTCTCCCCTGAATTGTATCCAGTTTTTGTCATTTTTGTTGTATCTGCAAAGTCCACTTTTGGTGGTGGCCCGCACTTTTCTAAAAGGCAAAGCAAAGTTATTATTTTATTTTAAGACTATTTTTAACAACAAGAAAATGTGGCATTAAAAAATCTCAATATCAGCCACATTGCTTTTTTATGGCCTTTAACCGAACATGTTATTAATGTAATGCACATTATTAATATACGAATTTTGTGGTCATTTTTCAAAAAAAAAAAAAAAAAAACACTTTCTATATTGAGGAGATCTGGGATGGATTCTTCTTTATAATATATTATAACTACATCTAAATTAGACTTTTTATCCTGTTGCTAGGTTATTCTATGTAGTTGCTAGCCAGACACATTTAAGGAATGGGACGTGCCATTCTCCATTTGACAAGCACTGTCAGAAGAAAAAGTTCTCGTATCTGTATCATATGTAATAACATACCAGTGCATTGCAGTATGCCTGTCCATTCAGTCTGGGCATTACAGGTGATGTGTACAGGCTGCTCTGGGTTAAACCCAGGATCACACTTATATTGTATTCTTGAATTGATGTTGTATTTTGATCTCTGTTCTCCCACAATCCTTGCATTTGCGATCTTTGGTGCTGCACACATTTTTACTGTAAAAAATAAATAAAAATAAATTCCATCATACTAATTTGACTTCATATTGTGCACAAATTGTAAGTTTTAATGTCAGAACATACCAACACACAGGGGTTTTGGTGTCCATCCGTCTCGTGTGCATGTGGCTTCTGCTGCCATTTGATCATAACCAGACATGCAAGAGTAATAACGTTTTGCTCCAAATTTCATATCTCCACTGAAGTAAGAGTGCGGGCTAGACACATGCTGGTCATGTGGAACTTCACATCTATTATCTGAAACAATATTCACATTATATTTAGTAGCATGCAGTAAATTCAGATCCTAATCCAGAAGTGTTTCTCTATAATCTTAACCTGACAAACAGGCTCATAATCCCACTTCCCATCATCTTGGCATTTAAATGATTTGATGATTTCTTTTGTAAAAAAAATCCAGTATTTTTCAGCGCAGGTGATCTCCACTCTTTCTCCAGCTCTAAAAACAGTTTTACCCTCTGGTGTGATGTTTTTAACTCCAAATGTGGTTGACTTAAGCTCACAAGTTACTTCTGTACAAGACATAATTATGTAGAAATAAGGGCAAAAAGAGATCACATATGTGTGAAACTGGATTTGCATGCTTTGTCTTTTGCAGGAAACAAATGATTCTGAGAAATAAAAATAAATAAATAAATAAAAAAGCTTCCCATTAATAGAGTACAATTTGTTTTCCCTAAATAAGTATTAGAGGCATATTTTCTATTTTGAGAACATTTAGATATATTTGTTAAACTATTATCTAAAAATTAAGCAAGTAGTTATTCGTAAGTAGTAAGTGGTTATTAGCTGATTTTGTAGTTACCAAATAATAATGCTAGTCGTGTCACACACTTTGCATGCAAATGCTGTTGCCTCATGATTTCCCCCAATAAAAAAAATCACAAACAAAAAAATGTTCCTTTCAATTAAAACAGAAATCAACAACAGTTGGACCCTTTCGACAGCATGACAGGAATACAAGTAAATAATCTCATTCCATTTTCTCAAGTTTTATAAATTGGTGTGTAGACTGCATTCATCAAGTTAAACCTTTTATTGTTTAAAAAAATTACACTAACATCAGACAAATATTTTATTTAATGTATGGGAAAAACGGATTGTTCGACAATTAAAACAAAAATTTGTCCCAAATTAACCAGATTTAATTTAGTGATATGTTAATTTATGCTTAATTTGCAAAAAAATAAATAAATAAATGTGCAATTTTGAATGGGTTAATCAATTTTTAGAATGTTTCATTGTATATTTTTCAAGTTACGCTACCAGGTTTTTCGCACAATGAAAGACATATGGATAGACGGATTTTAGTATTATTTCCCATATGATTAGTTTATTATGTAATAATAATGGTGCATTACCATCACATTCTGGCTTCAGAGTCCAACCAAATTTAGAGCATCTGGGAATTCCCTCTTTTAGCTTGAACCCTTTAAAACATCCGTATTTTAATATGGCATCTTTCTGGTATTCTTGCATTTTCTCAACAACATATCCATTTGGTATATCAGGTGCTGTACATGTTATCTCTGTGTGAAAAGCAAAGGAAAGAGGAATAGGAAAATTGGTGCATTGAATAAAGCACAGAAATCTGTGATCAGTGGGTGAAGATACGAACAAACAATCAATTAAACAATGGAATGAACCTTTGCACGTTGGAACAGTGTCACTCCATTCGCCCGTCTCTGTGCAGTGAATTTCTTAATCTGACTAAAAAATATAGTGTGTTTACAGAGTTTACAGCATTTGCCTGGGGGCGTTTATCTATTTTGCCAACGCATTCTCATCCCAAAGCGTAATATTTTGACTCTTTTGCCAAAGCGTCTATATCCAACGCATATGGCACCCTTTAGCGTCAATATAACACGCTTCGGTTTTGGGTAGGTTTAGGTCTGGGGTAGTGTTAGGGTTAGACCACTAGGAGGCGCCATATATCTGCGTCTCATATGACACTAAAGGGTGCCATGTGCGTTCGATATAGGCGCTTTGGCAAAAGAGTCAGTATATTACGCCTTGGGATGAGAACGGGCTCATTTTGCATATGGCCTCAACACACTATCTTATGAATAGCGCGCTCTGCGAGTGGGTGTGAACAAATTAACGATAATGAGCTGAGACAGGAGAAACTGTACTTCTCTTTAGTTTCATACAGATTACATTGCAGGAGAATATTTGTTTTAAATGTGAATTGTTTTATTTAAAAGTAGAAATTTAAAGCGTTCTTTAGACGTATGTTTCATGTTTGTGTGATAAGTATTAGCTGAGTTTCAGTTCATTTTTCAGACATGTTTCAGAAAGATTTTTGCGGAGACAGAGTGAGCTGAAAGCGCACCCTGTTTATTTTATTTATAAAAAAAAAGGTTTTGATGTTAATGTGAGTGTACACAAAAAAAGAAGACCCTCTATAGTTTATAATCATGTATTGATTTTATTTACATGACCATAAATGACGGAGTATTTTAAGTCTATGTTGCTGCTATGTGAAAAAAAAAAAACAGCAAAACGCGCCGGCGCATTTGCCGTCCCTAGAGGGTTAACCGAACATGTTATTAATGTAATGCACATTATTAATATACGAATTTGTGGTCATTTTTCAACAAAAAAAAAAACTTTCTATATTGAGGAGATCTGTGATGGATTCTTCTTTATAATATATTATAACTACATCTAAATTAGACTTTTTATCCTGTTGCTAGGTTATTCTATGTAGTTGCTAGCCAGACACATTTAGGGAATGGGACGTGCCATTCTCCATTTGACAAGCACTATCAGAAGAAAAAGTTCTCGTATCTGTATCATATGTAATAACATACCAGTGCATTGCAGTATGCCTGTCCATTCAGTCTGGGCATTACAGGTGATGTGTACAGGCTGCTCTGGGTTAAACCCAGGATCACACTTATATTGTATTCTTGAATTGATGTTGTATTTTGATCTCTGTTCTCCCACAATCTCTGCATTTGCGATGTTTGGTGCTGCACACATTTTTACTGTAAAAAAATGTAAAAATAAATTCCATCATACTAATTTGACTTCATATTATATGCACAAATTGTAAGATTTAATGTCAGAACATACCAACACACAGGGGTTTTGGTGTCCATCCGTCTCGTGTGCATGTGGCTTCTGCTGCCATTTGATCATAACCAGACATGCAAGAGTAATAATGTTTTGCTCCAAATTTCATATCTCCACTGAAGTAAGAGTACGGGCTAGACACATGCTGGTCATGTGGAACTTCACATCTAATATCTGAAACAATATTCATATTATATTTAGTAGCATGCAGTAAATTCAGATCCTAATCCAGAAGTGTTTCTCTATAATCTTACCCTGACAAACAGGCTCATAATCCCACTTCCCATCATCTTGGCATTTAAATGATTTGGTGATTTCTTTTGTAAAAAAAATCCAGTATTTTTCAGCGCAGGTGATCTCCACTCTTTCTCCAGCTCTGAAAAAAGTTTTACCCTCTGGTGTGATGTTTTTAACTCCAAATGTGGTTGACTTAAGCTCACAAGTTACTTCTGTACAAGACATAATTATGTAGAAATAAGGGCATGGATTTGCATGCTTTGTCTTTTGCAGGAAACAAATGATTCTGAGAAATAAAAATAGAAAATCCTAAAATGAAAAAAAAAAAAAAAAGCTTCCCATTAATAGAGTACAATTTGTTTTCCCTAAATAAGTATTAGAGGCACATTTTCTATTTTGAGAACATTTAGATATATTTGCTAAACTATTATCTGAAAATTAAGCAAGTAGTAAGTAGTTATTCGTAAGTAGTAAGTGGTTATTAGCTGATTTTGTTGTTACCAAATAATAATGCTAGTCGTGTCACACACTTTGCATGCAAATGCTGTTGCCTCATGATTTTCCCCAATAAAAAAAATCACAAACAAAAAAATGTTCCTTTCAATTAAAACAGAAATCAACAACAGTTGGACCCTTTCTACAGCATGACAGGAATACAAGTAAATAATCTCATTCCATTTTCTCAAGTTTTATAAATTGGTGTGTAGACTGCATTCATCAAGTTAAACCTTTTATTGTTTAAAAAAATTACACTAAGATCAGACAAATATTTTATTTAATGTATGGGAAAAACGAATTGTTCGATAATTAAAACAAAAATTTGTCACAAATTAACCAGATTTAACTTAGTGATATGTTAATTTATGCTTAATTTGCAAAAAAAAAAAAAAAATTAAATGTGCAATTTTGAATGGGTTAATCAATTTTTAGAATGTTTCATTGTATATTTTTCAAGTTACGCTACCAGGTTTTTTTCGCACAATGAAAGACATATGGATAGACGGATTTTAGTATTATTTTCCATATGATTAGTTTATTATGTAATAATAATGGTGCATTACCATCACATTCTGGCTTAAGAGTCCATCCAAATTTAGAGCATCTGGGAATTCCCTCTTTTAGCTTGAACCCTTTAAAACATCCGTATTTTAATATGGCATCTTTCTGGTATTCTTGCATTTTCTCAACAACATATCCATTTGGTATATCAGGTGCTGTGCATGTTATCTCTGTGTGAAAAGCAAAGGAAAGAGGAATAGGAAAATTGGTGCATTGAATAAAGCACAGAAATCTGTGATCAGTGGGTGAAGATACGAACAAACAATCAATTAAACAATGGAATGAACCTTTGCACGTTGGAACAGTGTCACTCCATTCGCCAGTCTCTGTGCAGTGAATTTCACTACTTCCATCTATCTTTTTGCCAGAAGATACACACTCAAAGTGAATAACATCACCATAACTTCCCATGTCTGTGTTGCCCGATGCAGTCACACCCCCATCTGTGCGAATGGCTGGACATTTCACAGCTAGGTAATAAATAAATAAATATGAAAATAAATAAATAAATAAACCAACAAACCAATCATTGAAATTATAATTCTGTTGAATAATGTAGCTTACGGGTCACTATCAGAAATATATGATGGAGAAAAATTAAGAGACAAAAAAGGAAAATAGTGACTTTCAAGAAAGCGTACCCTCACAGACAGGGAGAGTATTATCCCATCCTTGAGTTCTGCAGGTACGCTGATTGATTCTGCTTGTCATTTCAAACCTGTGAACACAAGTACATACAAAGAGTGTTAAAATGATAGAATACATTTCATACATTAGAATAAAAAGCATAAAGCACAATTACCCTTTCTTGCAAGTATACAACACTGTTGCTCCAAAAACAAACTCCGACCCCTCTATAAGTTTAAAATCACCATTTGCGGTGTCCCCTGGATGACTACATTTTTTCTCTGCAGAAATCAACCAAGTTTTACTCTGCATGCATAATGACATTGATTTAATAACCAATAAAATTATGTGGTCATCATATTGTCCATTTTCTCACTTGCACATGGTCGCTCTGCGACTGTCTTCCATTTTCCTTGTTCACACTTTAATCTATACATGCCAGTATAACCTGTCATGCAGTTCACTTTCACTGTTTCACCATCACTGTATGAAGCTTTCAAAACTGGTTCTTTGTTTTCATATGTAATGTCATTTTGAAGACATTCTGTGAAGCACAAACAAACATTACACAAAGACATAACTGTCATGTACATTAAATGCTGAAGTTCACGCACAACTAGTCGACAGACTCTCTAAAGCTACAGTTTGGGAAATGCATAGGACTATAATATGACATTTATATTTAAGTCAATAAAAAAAAGACATTTAAATAAAAAAAAAATATATAAAAAAAATCACTTGCCTTGACATTGGGCACAATTCAAGGAAAACAACCAAAAGACGAAGCCGAAGAGATTGAGAACTCTCATTTTGGGCTCCCTTTTTTGGTCTGTCTCTGATACTCTTGCCTGCTAGGGGATCAACAAGCTAAAAAGTATTTTTCCCTTATACCAGACCACTCTGTGCACAAGCAATATTTCCTGTAAAAAAAAAAAAAAAAAAAAAAATCTTATCTCATGCAGCAATTTGTTTTTGTCATTTAGACACACCAAGACAAGTTACCTTAGAGAGGTCAAACTTATTGAGTCATATTTATGCAACATATAAACAGGAAGCAGAGGGCAGGTTACAAAATAATTGCCATGTTCAGCTCTTAACCCTTCAGAGTCTTGGGCTATTTTGGCCCTTTTTGAGTACTTTTTAATTTTTTAATTTTGCGACATAAACAAATGTTTACCATACTAATTTTTGGTATCATTTTTTTCAGCACATCATCACCTATATGACCAGACAATTAGTTTTTCACTTTGGTGTACTGTATCAACATACTGGACCCAAAATCACACAAAAAACACAAAATCAGAATAGAAAAATTATAGATTTTCTACTACAAAAAACACAAAAATGCTCAATGAAGCATTTTAAAAGGTTTAAAATGTAGACAAAAGTTGTAAATGTCAACAAATACAGGTACAATTCAGATATAATCAAGCTATATACAAAAAAAAAATATGATTTACAAAAAAAGCGGGTGTAGCCATAGGCTTTTTTTTTTTCTTTTTAGCTTTGCCACTTTAAAAAAAAAAGTGCACACAATTACAGAGAGCTATATTTAAGGCCTCACATTCCCAGAGTATGAGGGCTCCCAAATAGTGCTAATACAACATAAAAAAGGTAAAATTGAGATAAAATCAAACTATATACAGCAAAAAGCAGGTGAGGCAATAGGCATTTTTTCTTTTCTTTTTTGCTTAGAAACTCTACAAAACACTTAATGTACAATTACACAGACAGCTACATTACAGGGCTTTCATTCCTTGAGTAAGAGGGGTTCCTCAATAGTGCAAATATACCATACTAAAGGTAAAATGAACACAAAATCAAACTATACATACAACAAATATCAGGTGTGTTTTTTTTTTTTTTTTTTTTTCATCTGTGCCACTCCTCAAAACAGTTTATCTAAATCTACTCCTAAACTACCTAAACTACTCCTAAACGATCTACACTATTCCCAAACTACTCTCAAAATCTACTCAAACTAGCAATAATATCTCTCTCTATATATATAACGTACATATGTCTCTCTTTATCTACTCCGTAAATCTCCTGTCTTTCGATTTCGCGTCTTTGCTCAGTTGGCTCCTCCTCCATTCCGTAAAATGTGCAGCCTGAAGAGCAGAGTCAGCAGATTCACACGTTTTTCTCCGTTTTGTTTTATGACAAAAATCCAGTGGCGCAAAAAGTGGGTGTGCGCTATATGCGGCGCATAGGGGCGCAGCACCATGGGGGGCGCCAAAGCGATGGTAAAAAAAAAAAAAAAAAAAAATTAAATATCATTAAAATATATATATATATATATATATATATATATATATATTGTACTGCTGTTGTGCGTTTTTTAAATAATTTCTGCATTTCTTGTTATATAAAATTTTAGAGGACTAACAGGCTAGAGTAGGCGCCCTCATGGAGAAGGGCCTCATGGAGAACGCCCTCTTGTCTCGAAAAAGATGGATAAAACAAAATGCTGTGGGGCTAAAAATAGAAAAAGAAAGCGGGAAAAGGAGATGGCATGTCAACTGATGCGACAGCAGCTAAATAAGTGCATGCTGAAAGCCACCAGGTAGGATTTAAAGTGTGACATGACATCCAGGCATGTAGGCTATCTATTGGCGCTTTTCCATTACCAGTACCAGCTCGACTCGACTCGACTCGCCTTGGCTCGCCTCGACTCGGCTCGCTTTTCGCTCCGTTTTCCATTGCAGAAAGTACCGCCACAAATAGTACCCGGTCGTCATAGCGACGGCTTTCGTTCCTCGTTGCCCCATCAAGCTCTCGCTGGATCCTCTCTTCGGCAACCAAACAAAGGAATGTCTGCACCTCCTCGTTTGACCACGGCGTATTCTTCCGAGTTGCCATAATAATAGTAGTAAGTTTAGTAACTATCTCTGGCCAAACTATTTAAAATACTCCATCTGGCGCGTGCAATGATGACGCAGATTCTCTGTGACCAATCAGCAGTCGGCATTGTTTTCACGTCACATTTTAGTATCGGCTTAGCTCGCCTCAGCTCGCTTGGAACCTCGCCAGAGGTGGTACGAAAAAAAGTACCCGAAAGCAGGTACAGGTACAACTTTTACACAGTGGAAAACCAAACAAAGGCGAGTCGAGTCGAGCCGAGCCGAGCCGAGGCGAGCTGGTACTGTGTAGTGGAAAAGCGCCATATATCTCTGTGGCCATCGGGACTACAGGGAGATTCCCGGTGGGCCGACGTGCTTTTTCGGCCGATACATCTCATACTTTGTTTTTTTGTCTTAACGGCCCATAAAACTCGTACATCGGCGGCCCATTCGGGTTTTTTTTTTTTTTTTTGCTTAATTGGCGGCGCTGGGTTATGCCGGTGTAATGCATTGGTCAAAAAAAGTCAGTGTTAGTTTTTTTTTTCTGACACACATAATTTTTTTCATCATGTGCTTATATCTTTCAAGTATAGAAATTAGTACAAAACTAATTATGAAAGTTTCCTTTATTTTTCAGTGCATTTGTTTTACAAAATAGGCCTATGGCTATTACTATCATGGGATTAATATTATAACTATTATTATGTAGTAGTGTAATGTAGACAGACACTAACTAAAAGAGGTTTGAATTTTTCTTTGTTTAATTTGCACCCTGAATATGGGTTCGAGCTTTTAATTTTGAACTCTCAAAGTGCACCAGACTGCTGAATTTAACATTAAAGAACACAAAATTTTCTTACGGGGGGGGGGGTATGGGGGGGGGGGGAACCCCCCGAACCCCCCGATCCCCCCGATCCCCCCTAGAGAAACAGAGGTCCACCTACCACAGTTGTACCTAAAATCCTGTGAGAAACACTGGTATTGCTGTTCCAATGGAGCTTATAGTTTTTTAGGGGGGTTCATCACGGTGGAGTAGCTATAGTTTAATTGTATTAATAAATGACAATTTGGCACTTTTATCTGTTAGCTCTCACTCGTTCCTACTCACTTATTACATGGCACACTTATTTATTTTTATTTTTATTTTTTTTGGGGGGGGGGGGTCAGGGGCGCAAAAATTGTTGCTGCATACCCCTCTGACACGGGGTAGTTGCGCCCCTGCAAAAATCGACAAAGTTATTAGAATAAATGCAACGTCTGTCACATCCCATCTTGCGTTCTTTTACGAACGCGTCAATATACACGTCAATTTTTTTATATAAAGTTTAAATGATCATATCTCCGTTTTTACGTGGTCTATCAACACAAAACAAAAAGTAAAATAGAATTTCAAGCCAGCACTTTCGACAGAAGTGGACGGCAGCGCTCAACGTGACTTCGTTTTTTTGCTTCGACGTCTTAAACTGGACATGTGATTTGATCACGCCGGCGTGATCAGCGACCCCGAAGAGTTAACTCTGTAGCTTAATCCTGTTAATGTTTTTCTCTGGCTCATGCTTGAATCAAATCATAAATGACATTATGTTGTGATATCTGTCCCATAGAGCATTACAAATGAGTGAGATTGAAGATTCACAACACTTTCAAACTTTCAAACATTGCAATAGTACAATCATTGCAAAATGTGTAACTGCAATTGCAAAATGTGTCCATCAGAATTGAACAATCTATTGAAAGGAGAGAGAGACGGGGTTTTTTACACTTTTAAAATTCTTTACTCAATCAAAAATTACACACTTATACAAAACAGTAATACAAAAATTAGTCAATGATATTCACCAAACAAATGATAGTCACCTTCACAAAACACAAACAAACCACTATTTACACACCATTTGTACATAAATTCAACCATATTTCCTATAGTTTTGAAGAATATATATTCTGTCCTTATTCTCGATTCAACAAGTGGTGTAAACAGACTAAGAATCTTAACAAATTGTCCTTCAAGAGCAAGTCTGCAAGTCTTCCAAATAGCTAGTTTTGCTTGCCCAAGTATAAAATTGGCAACAGTACAACAATCCTTGTTCACTTTAGAGAGAAATCAAAACCCAACCCTTCAATAATTCTTTCCAGCAGTGCAAAAAGTGGCACCAACCTTGGACATTCAATAAAAACATGAAAAACCGTTTCATGACTATTACAAGATGACACAAGGGCAAAACATTCAAATTGAATTCGGACACAAAAACATTAGTGGCTATCACACAATGTAATATTCTCCATTGTAGATCACCTGAGCGTTTTGGAAGGGGACTTTTATAAAAAAAGCTTCCAAGAAGGAAAAATATAATCTGCAACTGTTTGTTTTTCTCTCCATTTTGTATCATATCTGTCATGAAGATCAGTAAAATAAGCAGTTTTTACACAGACCTGATACATAACTTTTTTCCCTACTGTTTGAAAATGTAGCCCTTTTAATCTCTCAAAATTTAGCAACTTTCCAACCTGGCTGGTTTCAGGGCAAACTCCAGGGCACACACCTAATTCAGGAAAAACAAATTGCGTAGGCCCACCCTCTAGAGAATGATTCACAAACTGAAAAAGAGTAGAAGGAAGAGCGGCTTTCAAGCCAAAAATCAACTGCTCTACCACCCTCACAGACCTCAAATCAACCTGACAGGCAATATTTTCTGCTGATCTCCACTCTTTTGAATCCAAATTAATCAAGTGTCCCACTTTCGTAAAGCCTTTCTTCATACATGACTT